GTACAACGGTTAGGACGCTCGCCGACCATGCACATGGGCCGGGGTTCGATCTCCGGTCGACACACTCCTTTACCTCGCTAAGCCGGTAATAATGCTGGTAAAGAGGGAAGGTTGGGCATGAGGCTAGCAACCCCATCCTGTAAAAATAAACACCACTGCTACAGAAACTTCAAGCCACTAGCTTGAAGCCCTATGTTCCACTGGGAACGTGAAGGAAAAAAATAATTATTATTTGCCAATTCTAGCATAAATTATTAGTTTTATTTTCGGTATGCAGTTTATGCTTTTTAAGCTGTCTTACAGTTCGATTACCAGTTGGCTATTATTACCGGTGGTATTCTTAACTGTGGTGGACTAGAGTGTGCGTCAGACTGTGCAGAGGGAATGAGGAGACAGGAGTACGTCGGACCAATAAGAAGACTCAGGAAGATCTGGATTTCATGCCTGGGTGGTTCGTGTTTAGTGTCACACAGACTTGCAGAAAAAAACCCAGCACACTGGCTGAAAAGGCTGACAGCGAAGACAGGACTGCAGAGGAACATAGAGAAGACAGAGATGATCAAGATAACTGACCAACCAACAGCAATAAAAACCAGCACCAGTCACCATCAACAGGAGAGATTTCACAGAGGTTATTTCCCCCACTTATCAGACTAGGAAGCACAGTTTCAATCACAGGCAGTCGGAACGGATGAAGATGTCAAAGCTGGCCAGAATAGGAAAGACGAGATAGGCCTTCATCAACCTCAAACCAGGTTAGAAATCTTCTGTACTGCACTCAGTCAGTGTAAAGAACAAGATTCAGATTCTGTTCAGCACTAATGTTAAGACAGTCACTTTTTCTGTACAGTTTTCAAACTTACAGAGCATGTCACGAAAAGGATTTCCAACAAGTTACAGACTTTTATCAACAGCTGCCATCTCCCCTGACTGGCCCCATACTGAAGACCAAATGGCCGACCGGCTAGAAAGAACTAGCGACAAGAAACTCTGACTGGCTGGAAACAAACCAACAGGCGAGAGCCAATTGCTCAATAAATATGTAGGAGAAGATGGAAATGGATCGGGCATACACTGAGGAGGCCATCGAACGACATCGCTCGAATGGAATACCAATGGGAAGCGAAGATTGGGTCGTCAATGCGAGGGTGACATGAAGGAGATGAGGGATTATGGGCAATCGTGGGCCCAGCTGAAGAGGGTAGCATCAAATAGAACAAAATGGGGGTGTGTTATTGAAGCCCTATGTTCCGGTAGGAAGCCATGGGAATAATGAATAAATGGACGAATTCCATTATAGAAGATTTTTGATAAATCGCACAGTGTTTACAGTTATATGAGTTTACAGTTATATCAGTTCATAAACTGTAAACACTGTGCGATTTATCAAATAAAATCTTATCTATAATTATACTTACCACAGTGCCAAGTTTTATACTTATATCAAATGGATGAATTGTAGGAATCTTTGTGTGTCAACTTTTTACTACTACAATAATTTCAGAACTCGATAATATTTCTCGTAGTGGAATTGTTTATTAGGGAAATGATGTACATAGATACAGCAAAATTATTATTATTAACTGAAACCTCCATTTTTACATGTTCTCCGTCTTGTACTTCTTTTGACTTCTGTATTGTTCCACAAGGATCTTTGATTTCTCCTCTTTGACATTTAATCCACACTTCCGTTATTCAATATTCTTGAGGATGACAGCACATACACAACACAATATACTACTTGCAAAGTTTTATCGGTAGCATCCACCACACTACTAACAGAGACCATACTTATTCAATCAGTCTCCGTTTATTTTAATGAACACAATAAATATAAACATGAATTGGATGTCTAAACTTCACTTAAACCTTTGTAGGGTGCTTTATGTTTATATTAGATAATAACAAGTGAACTGGTTATCTATCACTTGCTTGACTATTTTATAAGGAATACATGAAATATAGAGTAAACGTTTTTTGTAAGCTGAGGGTTTACATTGTGGTGAGAGTTCGCTGTGAGCAAGTTAAAGTTGTAGACGGTAGTTAACGTCAGTGTTATGTCTCGAATCAGGGTCATGAGAAAAACAATGACGAAGCTTAACCTTGAGGAACTCACTAACTAATCACAGGAGACTTAATGTGTGCAAATACGATTCGCAGATATATGGCTTAACTTTCTAAGAAACAGTAACGTGCAGCGAGAAAACGACTAATCAGAAGACGTTGCTTCTCAACTAACAATAATGTACATAGAAATCTATAAATATAAATAAAAATAAATAAACGATCTGTTGCCTGGCCTTTGTCTTCTGTCATTACAACATTACAAGTCACGAAGCCTAACAATAAATTCGAATAGACTGACCAGTGAACAGAGAATAGGAATCTTGATAGTAATTACAGAATTGTTATTGATAACACCATTACTGTTTTTAGATAACATCAAATCATGAAGATAAAATAGATTACAGTTCGCCGGTAGGCATTTTTGCAGAGTCGCTGTTGATGACGCTTTAGAGTCTTTCAAGCCATACAGTGGCTTAGTTTATAGATGAGATTTATTTCCTCTTCGGGCCCATTGACTTTTTAAAACTATATTGATTGGGAAGAGAATGAAACATTGCGACATATTTGGGTGACAGAGCATGAATGCAATGATAAATTGAATATCAGATAAGTTAGGGAGAATTAAGAATACCACGAACAATAATTCGATATTAGATCATCTAGTCCAATAAGGCCACAAAAGTCAGCATTGAAGAATCTTTTCCTATCATCTACCGGTTAGGTAAAGAATTACCAAAGACCCTTAGGATACAGAATAATTCAAATAGCAGAAGCCATTGTAATTCCCTTAAAACAATAGGAACTTTGAGGCTATTCCCTTCCTGATCTGCTGTTTTCTTTTCATTTCTTTGCTTTTCGAGTGAAGCATAGGGCTTCAAGCATTGAATTTTCAGTAGAGAGGTGGTATTTTTATTACAGTATGAAGTAGTTAGTCCCACACCCAACCTTCTCTCTTTACCAGACTGACTTACTTACCATCGTCTAGTAATAAACTAGTGGAGGTTTTAGGAGTGTGTCAGTCGGGAATCAAACCCTTGTATCATGTACATGACAGGTGACCAACTCACCCTTAAACCTTACTTGACTTTGATCATCAGATGAGTTTTCAATGTGGTATGATCGGTGACCTGGAATGCTGTATAGCCTATAAATTCATTAATTCTCTATTATTTTTTATTCAATTTAGTATTGTATTCATGCATATTATCACACTTACAGATGCTTCTGAACTCTATGTCATCTGCTGATCTTATTGATTAGATGCTACTTAAAACCCCCTAAATGTTATCAACAACAATAATAATCCTTCACCTACCTGGGAAGCATCGTCTCAACTACAGGCGGAACTGACGAGGACATCAAAGCCAGAATCGGAAAAGCAAGACAAGCTTGCATTACTCTCAAGTCTGCGTGGAGGTCAACAGCACTCACCATCAAAATAAGATCCGGATTTTCAACTCCAATGTGAAGTCAGTGCTACCCACTATACGGATCAGAGACTTGGCGAGTCATAAAGAGCATCTCAAACAAACTTCAAACCTTCATTAACAGCTGTCTCCGCTCAATACTCAAGATCAGATGGCCGGCCAGAAAAGATCAGCAACAGGGTCTCTGGCAATGAGCGAACCAATCCAGCAGGAACCGACTGTGAAACAAATAGGCAGGAAGAAATGGAGATGGATTGGCCATACCCTGAGGAAACCATCAAGTGACGTCACTAGACAAGCCATTGCTCGAGTGGAACCCGAAAGGGAACCGGCGAGTTGGTCGTCAGTGCAAGGGTGACTTGGAGGAGGTCATGCGAGGAGGAGATGAAAGCATGTGGGCAGACTTGGAGCGGGGTGAAAAAGTTGGCAGAAAACCGAAGGCAATGGAGGTGCGCAGCTGAAGCCCTATGTTCCTCTAGGAACTAAAGGATATAATAATAATAATTATTATTATTTTTATAACTGTAGAACCTTATGAAGAAATTATCGAAACGAAAGAAATGAAATCCTCCAACTAATCAAAAAAAATCTCAACAAAAACCAATACTTGAAAATCGATCTGATGCACACTGGCGGCTGGCCCTATTCGGGCAGTTACCTGGGATTTTAGCGGGAAGTCGTGACCAGTAGGTTGAAGGTGAGGGCAGTTACTCATCGAAGAAGATATTGCCAAGTGGTTGCGCTATGCCATCAATCGGCAGAAGTTAGGATTCAGGAGCTATAGTATCGGGTCCCAGTGGCTCAATGTTCTACGAACTTGCCTTGTGGGCGGAAGGCAAGGCGGAGCTCGAACCCTGGAGGTGGGTGCCTACTGCTGAAGCAAATTCACAAACTAGGACGAAACAATTGTCCAGTACTCTCAGGTTTTCCAATGGTTCTCTAACTGATGTCAGCTGATGATGAAATCCTCTAACCAACCAAACAAAATCCCTACAAAAACCAATATTTGAAAAAACAATATTTCTTGTTCATTAAACTTAGTCTTTTGAATTGCTCGTTAACCACGTGCCAGTGGTTCAGGGTTCGATTCCCGGCCGGTACACTATTAAACCTAGCTCAACCTGTAGTAAGCTTGGTAAACAGCAAAAGGTTGAGTGTAAGACTAGCGGTCGCATGCCGTTAAAAAAACACTGTTACTCCAAATTAAAAGCGTAAAGCTTGAGATAGTATTGTGGTGACAGCTATCTGCAAGCCAAAATTGTAGACAACAATTTATGTCAATGTTCACGACCTGAATCGGGGTCATGAGAAAAAACAATAACAAAGCTTAACCTTAAGGAACCCAACAACCAATCACAGCAGACTTAACGTGTGTAAATAAGATTCGTAGATACATGGCTTAACTTCCTAAGAAACGACAACAAGGAGAGCAGAATGACCTTCAGCAAGAAAACAATCAATCCAAAGAGGTTGCTTCTCCGCTAACAATAACGCTAATAATAAGGCACATAAAAATCTATAAATATCTGTTGATTTTCTCAATTAAAACGGGCTGTCGTCTGGCCTTTGTCTTTTATCGTTACAGTACGTTCCATTGGGGACGCAAGGGAATGAAATGCATAATATTAACAGAAATCTTCTGATATCCACCCAAGAACTAATAATACCGAATTTCAACGCATTTTCATGTTTAATTTTTAACAATATAAAACTATTATTCATAAAAACGCCTTCTGTGTATGCAAGAGAAACACTAGGAACATACGTATATGTGATCCAAGAGTATTGAAGGTTTTATTATATATAAATATATTGAGTAACAAAACCAAACCGTAATGCGATACACACACACACACACAGAGTGAGTGATAAAGGGAAACAGTGGAAATCGTGCTGTGAAGTTGCTTCCCGCCCCCCTTCTTCTTCTTGTTCTTCTTCCGGTTTTTATACCTCTTATAATAGAAATCTGACATAGGGCTGATAGTAATAATAATAGCCAGAATAAGACTCCATTATAATCAAAGCTATTATGTGTGTGTACATAGATAAACAGATACAATAGCTTAGAATAATTGCTTATCAATGACATTTGACTTTGTTTCCCAATACAAAATAGCAGATAACGTTACAAAAATGATGAATGAATGAGTGAATGACTGCGAATCAGATCAGGAAAGAAAGAAGTATTTTATAGAGATGTAGTAGAGTAGTAGAAATGTAGACCACCTTCCTCTCCGTCTCAATAAGTAGTCTACTTTACTACTCGACATACTATTGATAAGAAGAAGATAGGAAAGAAAAGAGAAACAGAAAAAAAGAGAGATTAAGAGAAACAGAAACACTAATTTATGCTCTCCTTTGTAAATATAATAACTCTTTAAATATTGATTTCTTTGAGAGTGATGCAATGCAATAAATCGACACTATTCAAGAAATCTCCAACAGAGAGAAAGAAAGACGGAGGGACGGAGGGAGACTGTATAAGACAATACGAGTTTTTTTTACGTTGTTGGTCTGTTTACAAGGCGGAGAAAGCGAACAATAAATATAATAGCTATAAATGTATTCACACATTACTACTACTACTACTGCTATTTACTACTTAATACACAAAAGTGTATAAGTAGTATATGTAGTGGTTATAAGAATAACAACAACAATAGCAGTAGTCATATTAGCAATAGAATTAGATGATGATAATAGTAATAATAACCATAATCATAAAGATTCTAATGGAATCGGTCAGCATGATATCCACTTCAGAGAGGAAGAAGAAAGCGTGAATATGATTTATACAGTTTAACAGAACAGACGGAAATTAGTTATCAAGACAGAAACCGAACACTGGGAGGAAATATTTGACGAAGAGAGAAAACAAGGGGGTTGATAACCCAGAGGATTAAACAGGCAAAAGATGGTGTGTGTGTGTGTGTGGTGGGAGGGAGCAACAACATTGACCACAGATATAGACAAATATCTCCGCATAATGATTATAAAAGTATTCCTAAAGAGTTGAATAAATAAATTTGAAGGCAAACTATAGATGTAAAGAAAAGCTGAGATCAAAGAAAAAAAGATTGATGAATGGAACCAGTTAAAGCAAAGCGAATATTCTGTCATTGTAGAAGGAAAGACATCAAAGGAGGGGGATATGCACAGAAAACAGAGAATGATTGGCTGGAAAGAGGGAGGGAAGGAAGGAGAAGACGAACTTAGATAAAGGAAAGATCAATTTCCACATATAAGTCAGTCAGGCGCTAATTACAAGAAGAGAAACCACAGATGAAATAAGACAGTTGAACACTTGCCAAGTACAATCAAATGGAGAGAGAGAGAGAGAAAAGAGAGTTGAAAACCAGGGAAAGATGTATCACTGTGTTATTTGACTAATCATAACAATATTAACAACTTTAAACAATAATAATAATATTACTAATAATAATGGCAACGTTGATGACAACACAATAGAAAAGGCAGTAGTCAGAGAATAGCAAAATAAAAAGGCAACAACAGCAGTAACACACCAGCAGCAGCAGCAGGAGCAGGGGCGGGAGCATCAGCACAGAAGCGTAAAACACAAGAGATGATTAGATTCGTCTTAAGACAGGATGAGTCAATGTCACTGAATAGGCACCAAGTACAGGGACAAGTGTTCGTGCATAATGATAAATCATTTGTGAGACACTTGTATAAGGCTGACTATATTCACCAAGAATATATTGACCTGCACTGTTACGTGATATTCTCATATGTAAAAACGATTTATGTCTGAAAATAAAGAAGAAAAAAGATGTAAAAGTGGGGGGGGGATATTTTTTTATTAAATTAAATGTAAAATTTGGGCAATATTTGCTGAATATACTATTTTACCAGGAATTGACTTGCTACCAGGGAATAATCTCGTTGACTTAGAATATGCAGATGATATAGTCGTTGTAGGTGAGGACGCTGACAAAATGCAGTCTTCTGAACACCTTGAACTGCAATCTACGAATGTCTGGCATGCAGTTCGCTCCCACCAAATGTAAGATGTTACATGACTGGACTACGCTGACTCCTAGTTTAGAAATAGGAAGTGAAGTGGTAGAGCACGTTGACCGCTTCACTTATTTAGGAAGTACCATCAGCCAACGCCAACTGGTTGATCTCTGACGAAAACTCAGTACGAATACAGAGGGTTAGTTTCGAATATGCCAGTTTACGCCATCTCTGGTGTAGACGTGATATCCGACTATTGACTAAAGGGTGGGTGTACTGTTCAGTAGTCCTCTCCGTCCTCCTTCATGGCTGTTAGCGAGACATGGCCATTGAAAGTGGAAGACATGAGAAGGCCAGCTAGCTTTCTTTGATCATAGGTGTCCGCGTTCTGTCTCCTGTGTGAAGTGGTATAATAGGGTGAGCAATATTGAGGTTAGGCATCGGTCGAGTGCCAGGTAAGTGGGAGGGGAAATGAATCGACGAGGCTGTGAAATTACATCGACTGAGATGGTTAGGATATGTGTTAAGTATGCCTAGTCATCGCCTTCCTCGACTAGCAATGTTAGCTGATATAGGGTCAGGCTGGGAAAAAGCTAGAGGAGGTCAAACAAAAACATGGCATCAGTCAATGAAATCTACAACAGTTAGTTTAAGCCAGTCAGCCACGTAGGAAGGTGTAGACTACCTGACTGGTTGAGGTCCTCGAAACGGTAAAAACCAATGAATGCTAGAGACAATTGGTGATATGGCTCAAAATCGTTCTCAATGGCACAGGTACATTCACTCCTTGTGAATTATGATTTCCAATGAAACTATATTGTTCTTCGTTATTACTATTCCTTTGTCTCACACCTGTTTACTATCTCTATTATGCATTTCTTCTGTTGCTTTGTGTGCTACATGGAGTGTGGCGACTTGAACTGCTGCACATCAGTGCAAAGTTCTATGTCGAAAACAGACAGAATATACTATTTATATATGATGAAAGAGTATTATTTACACTGGATGACGACGTTTGTTATACATAACTACAGACCTTTGAAACTCAGCATTTTGGCACTTCGCCTTCTTCCGCCTCATTTTTCGTTAAGGTAGTAGAATTTATCGGTGTCCAGTGTTCGACTATTCCTATTTCAAATAAAGTATAACTATATTTTAATAGTTTACACACAATGGTAAGTTTTGTTATTGGTAATATTTCGAGCAAAATTACCATTAACAAAACTTATCATTGTGTGTAAACTATTAAAATATATTTCTATATTTTGGTTTGTAAGGATTAGTTATGTTTTACGAGTTGATCAGGTTGGAGTTTCCTGAGTTCTAGTGAGAAGTCGTGACCAGTGAGGTCCAATTAGATGTCACGTGTGTGGATGGATGTCCCACCAACGACAATGGTTGGGGTCGCGCTAAATCACGAATTAGTAGAAGTTAGAATTCACGAGCCATTGAATTGGGTCCCAGTGGCTGAATGGTATACGAGCTTGCCTTGTAACCGGAAGGTCCCGGGTTCGAACCCTGGTGGGGTGCGTACTGGTGATGATTCCCAAACTTGGATGAAACAGCAGCTGTCCAGTACTCCCTGGTTTTCAATGGTTCTCTAACTGATATCAATCCGTGATCAACTATTAAAATATAATTATACTTTATTTGATCTAATCCACAATGCTCAAACTTTTAATGATATTATTCCTATTTCATTTGTTCTCAGTTGATTATGATAAAAGTAACTTCATTTATCTGTCTCTCTCCTTCTCTAACATGTTACATTAGATATTTAGACTTTCATTTTATCCCATTCTTATTATATGGTTGTGTTTATGACTACATTTAGTGCTACAACTGAACTTTTCTCTAGATTTCTTATCTTATTAGGCTGTAGGAGAAGAAAAGCTCAGATAACAATATGACTTGACGTGGATAAAGAAGAAGAAGAATCTGTAATTAGAAAATTTAACTTTCTTTGCACTCCGTAGATAAGACAGACAAATAAATCTCATCAATAGTATATGAAAGTTATGGATGGTGACTAGCAGTGGAAACTAAAATATGTACTTCATCCCTGTTTCGGACTTGTCAACTGCTTATACTTGCGATCCTCAGTGAGTGAAGGTGTTGCCACTGCGATTCGAAAATTTAACCCAAATAAGTCAAAATCCACATCCTGAATTCCCCTGGTAATCACCGACCACCACCAAACAATATTACTATTATGTGACGAAGACTCTGTTAGACGTGAAACTTACAAGTTACTATGTAATTAGCACAGTGAATCGACCCTTTTATCGTTCATCTTTCCGTATTTTATGGTGTCACACTTTCTATCGTCTAAATCGTTACTCTGCTATTTTATTTTTAGTTGGTATTACTATTATTACTACAATTTTGTACTTCATACATATTTTTCTCCGTATGGCACACAGTATTTTGCTACGTAGCTGCTATAACAATCGTTTTATTACTATTATGTAATGTGTATTTTTAATTTTTTTTGTCGTTTTTGAGTAAATTAGATGCAATATTGTACTGAAATGCTGAAAATTCCTTGCTGTATCATGAGTACTGTTTTTGGAATAAAGCTATTATTATTATTATTATTTACTATCAATATTATTCCTTTGGGTTCCCACAGGAACATAGGGCTTCAACAGCACATCTCCACTTATGTTCTCTACAGTCGTCTTTAGCTGGCTCCACAACTACTAGCCATAGGGTCTCATCTCTTTATCACACGATTTCCTCGATGTCACCGTTTGGCAAATACTCAAATTGCCGTTTACCATGCACGTTCCCATTCGAGGGTTTGCTTAGTGTGTGATATCGCTTAAAAGTATCTTCAGCGTGTCTACAATCCATATCCATTTACTTCTGACTATTTGTTGAGCAATATTGGCCTGATTAATTCCTTCCGAGAGTTCTCTGTTGTTAGTACTCTCTGGTTGGTCATGTGGTGTTCAGGATGGCGCGAAGGCGGTTGTTAATAACAGTCTTTAGTAGCCTGTTAGAAATTGTTCACGCGACAAGTTTCTGAACCATATTAGAAGAACTAAATGACTTCACATTTGTGTTGAAAATTCAGATTTTGTTGTTTATGTTGAGTCCAGTACAGAAGATTTCCAAACTGATTACAGAGTGATCAATATCTATCCTGCCTTTCCAATCCTGATTGGCTTTAACATCGATATAAGTATAAAACTTGGGCACTGTGGTAGAGTATAATTCCATTATAGATAAGATTTTATTTTGATAAATCGCACAGTGTTTACAGTAATGTTTACTGATGACGTTTAGAGCACAATTTATTGCTCATAATCATATCAAGATAATCACACGACTTCCTAAATTCATTTATATAGTTCCATTGTTTTTCTCTTGATTTTCACTTGATTTGATTGGTAATAGTATTTTCCATATTTCAGGTATGAGTGACGAGTCATTCCTATTGCATGTGTTGGGTGTAGACTCGATGAACACACATCCACAGTGCCTGTAGTTGAAACGATGCTTCCCAGATATGTAAAGGAATTGACTTCTTTCAAATTTCTCCCGTCAATAGTGATTGGTGTTTGTTATTGTTGCTGGCAGTTGGTTGGTTATCTTTATCACCTCCATCCGCACCAAACAATAAAATCATGCTAATCCTTAGATTGTGCGTCGGTGGCACAAAGGTAGAATGCTCGCCGACCACGCATACGGTCTGGGGTTCAATTCCTGGCTGACGCACTCCTTTACCTCAACTAAGCCTGTAATAAGATTGGTAAAGAGAGAAGGTTGAGCATAAGGCTAACAACCCAATCCCGTAAAAATAAACAACACTTCTTGAAGCCCTATGTTCCACTGGGAGCGTGAAGGAATAAAAAAATCCTTAGATATTTTCGAAGGGTCGGTAATTAGAAGCCAACATTTCAACAAAGATGGAACATTTCAGTCAAATGGAAAGTACAAATTAACTTAAATAAATGAATATATTCTTCTACCTTTTAAGACAGAAAATTACTGTCTGTTACTTGCTGTTATCTAATTCACATAGCCTGTTACAATGCATACTATTGTAATAAAGAATTGAAAACTTTAAAGATAGATACATGGAAGAACTTCAATGTATAAAACTTACTTGATTGTCAATGAAAAATCATTTGGACATGTTTCACTGGGACGGACAAGAAAACTACCTTCTGGTTCATTGCGTATTAACTCTTCAGCTTCAGATCGTGTTAACGATGGATGAAACCATCTAGATAGAAGAAATTTGAAGTAAATAAAAAAAACGATATTTGAATGAATTGATATAAAAGGTGAAGCAATGTACAGTGTCTAATTTAAGTGAAACAAGACAGTGGTGAAAAAGTTGTCGAATAATTTGAAACAGTGAACTAAGACCAGTTGAAATGACTAAATTAACAATGATTTATTTAGGGCTAATTTGGGCTTTTCCTGTGGATTGATTGGACCGAAATATTCGGTCTGTGATAACCGCTACACAACAAGTGGTTTTCGTGATCTAAGTGGTTTAGTGGATAATTCACTGGCGTTTTGGACGGTAGTCGCTGGATTCGAGTTTCAGTAGGAAAACCACCACTCACTGTGGATTGCAGTTATATACTGTCGACGAATCCCAAAATAAGACGAAATGGCAGTTCTGAATTCCACTGCTAGTCACTACTACCCAGCAATTAAACCTGACCAATTATTCACTTAAAGTAGTAGTAGTATAGGAAGTCGTGACCAGTAGGCTGCAGAAGGTCGGATGTGAGGACAAATACTCGCCGAAGACATTGGCTAGCGGTTGCGCTATATCGTGAATTGGCAGAAGTTAGAACTCATAGGCCATTGGGTCGAGTCCCAGTGGCTTAATGGTATACGAGCTGGCTCGCCTTGTAACCATAAGGTCCTGGGCTCGAACCCCGGTGGGTTCGTACTGATGAACAGTCCCAAACTAGGACGAAACAGATTGCTGTCTAGTACTTCCAGGTTTTCCAATGGTTCTCTAACCCATGTCAGCTCATGATGAAATCCTGTAACCAGTCAACCAAATCCCTACAAACCAATACTTGAATAGTATGAAAAACACTGAACAACATCGAGGGATCAGCTAAGAGGAAGAGTGAATGTCTGAATGGACCAAGAGTTGCATAACGAACCTAACACATATTATTACATATTGATGAAGCGCCAACTGGCATATAATTTACTCGGGAAAAAACGAACAAATAGTAAAATGATTAGTCAGAGTTAGTTCGAGTTCAATAATGATCTGAATTAATTGGAAGTTTTGATAAACACAAAAAGAACATAATGTGTTGGTGATGAGTTACTATAACAACAACAACAACCACAAAAACCCATTTGGTTATGGTGAAAACACACTTATGGAAAGTTACACAATGACGTATTTGTCTGCTTTTCTGGATATATTTATACATATTCCTAGGAGTTCTAAGTGCAGCATAGGGCTTCAAGCTCTTGAAGTTTCACTAGTGTTGGCGTCATTTTTATGGGGTGGAGCTGTTAGCTTCATGTCCAACGTTCCTTCTTTGCTGCGCCTATTACCGGTAGGGCGACGTATGGGAATGCATTGACCAAGTATCGAACTTGGACCAACTGCGTGACTGGCAGGAATTGACACACCTACACTGTCATGATATCATTAAATTACTTACTCTTGCGAGTGCTGTCTCAGTGACATTTAATATGAACTGTCACTACAGTGGACTAATAGAGCTGAGCAAAAAGTGAATAAAACCAAAACGAACATATTTGAAAATGTGTTTGTTCTTTCCGTGTTCATTCTAGTAAAGGTAACCAGTTAAATAAAAGAGAATAGGTAAGGAAAGTATGAGGACGTCTTGAATTCCCCAAAAAAGAGATAAACTTCTACGATATTAAGGACGATTTCAATTCGAACCATTGATTTCTAGCCTCTCGAAGAACCCGATGACGCTATCTACAAGATTTTATGTAATTCAGATCAACAGGTCAAGATATTAAAAGACTGATCACAATTTTAATTCTTTAACCATCTTAATCAAATATCAGCTAATATCACTCAAAGTCAGAATTGGAAAGGCAAAAAACCTGGAACCAGTTTGAAAATCTCCTGCACTGCACTCAGCAAAAACAACAAGATTAGGATTTTTAACGCCAATATGAAGTCAGTGAGTCCTTCTATATGGGTCATAAACTTGGCCAGTGTGTCACGAGAGGCATTTCCAACAGCCTGTTGTAGACTTTTAGCAATACCTGTCACCTTCGCTGTCTGGCTGCTCCATATTGAAGAACAAATGGCATGCTGGTCAGAAAGAACAAGAAACTGTCTGGGAACAAAGCAACCAAGAGCCGATTGTTCAACAAATAGGTAGGAAAAAATGGAGATGGAATGGGCATACACTAAAGAGGCCGCCGAGTGACATCGCAGGTAATGCAGGTCATCAGGTCGAGTGGGTTGCCAATGCGAGGAAGAGACAGGGAGGAGATCGTTTGGCGAGCAGGAGGAGATGAGAGATTATGGTCAATCATGGAGCCAGCTGAAGACGATAGCAGAAATTGATATCATAGAACCTGTGCACTGTGCAGAGTATAATTCCATTATGGGTAAAATTTATTTTGATAAAGTCTCACAGTGTTATACAGTAATATTTACACAATTTATTGCGCATAATCATATGTATAACACTGTGAGACTTTATCAAAATAAATGTTACCCATAATGGAACGGCAGCAGAAAACAGAATAAAGTGGAGATGTGTTCTTGAAGCCCTATATTCCAATCGGAACCCAAGGGAATAATAATAATCATTCATCCCGAAAGTCCATATCTAGACATGCATTATCGAGTAATACGCTTTCTAGTCTAACAATCCATCATCTAAAACCTCAAAATTATTTATTCCCTCAAGTATAGGCGTATATATATTATGCAATTTCCGGGAGTTAAAAATCAGTTCAAACAAAATACCACAAAAAATACTACTAGTTTTACACACACACACACTAATGTACACAGATCACTCGTATCACTGACAAAGTTAATTGTCTACAGACAATGATTAATAAATACTGTAGATTGTCAGCCAACTACAAACAAATATCATTGGTAAAAAGGGGGGGGGCAATCAATTCTTTATCATCTGATCAACTTACCCACCACTAAGAACTAGAAACAAAGAAATTATGATCAGAGAGAGACAGAGAGAGGATATCAAACGGTTTGTAAAACGATGTCCTAGTGATACAATACAATTAGATAAACACGATAACACATTAAGAGAGACTATTCTTATTCATATCAATTAGACGTAGCTTAATAATCTCTTTTCAATAACTCATTGAGATGTCTGGAACCATAGGTAGATTGTGTTTAGGTTTCAATTGGAACACAAACAGACACACGGGGACACTGAATTTACATCGGTTATAGGAAGACGAAGAAAAAGTAAGGGATTAGTATTCCAATGTCCTAGACATCAATATTATTATCGATTATTTAAAAAAATCTTACTCTTTAGTGTCCCCAGTGGAACTATAGGGCAACTTCAAGCTTGAGTTTTAAAGTTTCAGTAGTAGTGGTGTCTCTTTTTACGGAATGAGGTTGCTAGCCTCATGCCTACACCTTCTTCCTTTACTAGTCGTACTCCCCAGCTAAGCGAGGTTTGAGATGGCATCGGCTGGGAATCGAACCCCGGACTATGTGAGTGGTTGGTGAGTGTTGTACCTCTGAACCACCGGCGCAAATTATTATGAATATTAATCCTTATATTAAATAATACAACGACCACACCAACAATATGCTAATAGCACTAATAATCTAGACGTCATAAATACCGTATCCGGCAAGCGGATACAGTTGTGAAACACACACACACACACACGCAACTGCTTTTTATATCCAATTCATCCTTTATAAAATGTTCCACTGAATAAGAAACCACAACATCAGCATACACGCGTACATTGGACCGATAGACTGAGCTTCGACATAGAACTTTGCACAGAAGTGCCACCGTTCAACGCACTACATTCCATTTAGTATACAAGGGAAGATAAAAGAGACGAAATAAAAGAGATTCAAAAGAATGATTCAACGATGATAAGCAGAAATGTACCGGTGAAAGAATAATTCACATGGAAAAATAATTGGATTTTTCTGGATATGGCATCTCAGGCATCAATAACGATTTTGCATTATACCGTCATCAATTGTCTCTAGCCAATAATTCTTAGCACCCCAAGGACCTCAACCAGGACGTTTACGCCCTTCAAATGTAACTGGCTCAAACTAACCGTCAAATATTTCATGGACTGATGACTATCTCTTTTCATTTAACACTAAGTGTCGAAGAAAGCGATGGCTAGGAGGCATGCGTAACACATATTCTAGTCATCTCAATCCACGTAACTTCACAACCACATCGATTAACTTCCTCGCCTAACATTCTACTTTAATATGATTTACCATAGTATACCTACCACTCAACACACAAAAATATGGGAAGATAGAGAGGAAAATATCTCAAAAAAAACAACAGAAAAACAACTTTAAATAGGATTAGAGAATGAAAACATACATTGATGTGAACAAAAAATAAAACTACCATGTGAAACTACACTACGTCAATGGTGTCTAGTCGGTTAGACAGAGAGAGAGTAAAGAAAAATGAATTGACTTTTAGAGTAAGAGGTGAGAATGTCAATAATAAAAAAAAAACAATGAATCATCATCATCAAATCACTTCCGCACGTGATTCATGTGTGTATATATGCATATATAAGCGGTGTAATGTATGTATGACAGACTATATATCCATTATCAACAATTAACAATAAACCTGAACCCAACAACAATATAACAGCTATACATTTCACTTTGATGATAGTATAGAAATATATTAGCGTGTTGTGTGAAATAGCATATTTTGAAAGCTAAAACTTAAACTAACTAAGGTGTTTTGCTTGACCATGAAAATTAATTGTCTAACCTTTAAAATGTAGAATAATAAAAGTGTCTGAATGTTGTATATGACATACACATAATATAATAGATTGGAAAAAGGCAGAGTTTAGACAGTGAAAAATAAAAGTATCTTTAATATGTAATTCCGACAACAAAATGCAAAGCATATTTGATAATTATACCACCACTACGATACATAATTTGTAGATAAACCGCATGACCACGAAAAGGCAAAAGGCATATGTTGTTATTGTTATTTAAGATAATTAAATATGTATTATTTT